TCCCTGAAACCACTGAGAACCGCCTGCTGGAGCTGGAGGATACGGCATATAGCCACCAGAATACTAAGGATAACCACCCTGGGAATAAGGGTCCTGGGGATACTGATATTGTCCCGAGGCATAAGGAACAACATCACCCTGATAGTGGTAGGCACCACCTCGACCTGCCTGTCCATAACTACCCGGACCCTGAATCTGCTGGATAGGTGCAGGTGGCGGCAAGAAAGTCTGATGCGGCTTCTGCTGCTGACTCTGGGGGACAATTCGCAGCTCGATGTCCCATCTGCCCACAAGTAAAACAACCACTGCTGCCACGCCTACACTCACTAAAGTGCCGATTATTACACCTGCGGCAAAGTGGGGCCCTACCTCGGCCACCATCACCCTGTCTCTGGCCTCTAGCACCACCTGCAAATCTACCTCCACGTCCCTGACCAGTGGCGCTAAAACCACCCCTAGAAGAGCTAGAACTAGTGCCACCCCTCTTGAAATTCTGTGTCCGTCAAGGCCCGAGCAACGCTTGACCTTTACCCTTATCATCTTTCTTCTGATTACCATTCTTCTCTTCCTCATCACTCTCGCTCGACATGTTTTCAGAGTCCTTAACTCTCAGAAGAACCTCATAAAAGTCCTGATAAGTATCACAATGAGTAGTAGTCGCCATCGAACGCCATTTCTTCTTAGTACCTAAGCGAAAACGACGAAGCATCTCCGTCGGATTACCAGCAATCTCAGGATGATAGCGAGACAAGTCAGTGAACTTCCGATAGTACTCATTCGCTGTCATCTTCCTCTGTTTCAACTCCGTAAATTCCTGCTTCTTACGATCAATGTACTCAGGGGGCACAAACCTTCTCTTGAACAAAGTAATGAAAACATTCCAATCAGTCTTCTCAGCTGGAGTCAAACGACGAAGCTCCTGCTCCCACCAGGCTGCAGACTCCGACCCCAAAAACCACGAGGTCGTCTCAACCCACTTCTCGACTGGAAGATTCCCCTGACTGTGCAAAACACGGAAAGTCTTCTCAATATGCTCTAACCATCGCTCTGCACCCTCATGACCTTCATTACCCTCAAACTTATCCAACTTCAAATTATACATAGTCTCCAGAGGAGTCCTCTGGGGAGGGCGAATCGCCGACTGAATAGCTGTAGCAATAGCTTCCCCCAGCTGAGCAATATCGGGGAAACTAGGCTCATCAGAGCGACGTGGTTCCCGACGAGGCGGCATAGTTCTGACAGAAGGCACCAAAACCATTAGAATACTCACAAAAGTACAGGACTGCCAAACCTAAGCTCTGATACCAATTTGACCTATCGGGAAGTTCTCGTGTGAGTTCCCAAAAACAAAACCGTGAGGGCGTGGTGGGGGCCCAAAGCGGACAATATCGTGTTACGGTGGTGGAGCGGGCCCGGGAAGTGGTCCGCCCCGGGTCGGGATGTGACAGATAATGCTAGGAAAATCAAAATTTTAAACCAAATTTGCAAATTAAATAAGGTGTCACCAAAATGGAAATAAGCACGTTAATTAATACTTAAGTAACAATCCCATCATCAACAACCACATTATTTGGTCTTCAAAATTTTGTTTAAAAATTTGGTCTCCTTACCATTACCCTAGATTTCATATCAAAAGTTGAGTGAGCATTAAAATATATTTCTTTATTCTTCACACTAGATATCAAATTTAAAGCTTGATAATAATAATTTTTTTTTAATTTCTCCTTTTCTTAAAATTAATATGGACGTGAGTTGGAATTCTGCTACTGGTTCAGGTTGTGCTGATGTTATTGTGCGAGATCATGGCTGCAACTTTGTGGCTGTGGGTGCAAATTTCCGTAATCTCTTCCTTTAATGAAAATGCACCTGCAAAATAATAACACATTCGATTAAGGCCAAAAGCCTCACGCACCCATGATGAATTGGGGGGAGGGGGGCTTTGGCCGAAGAATATTCGATGCCAAAATTAGAATTATGAAAAGAATGTATTTAGGAGTTTGTGGGTAGCAAATGGCTTAGCATTTTAGTGGGATAAGATAGGTATTTATAGGAGAGTGGTCGGCCCTTTGGGTGGAGATTGGCTGGCCATATATGGTGTAATTTGATGAATAATTGCAAGATATTATGTGAAATAATATCTTGCAATTAATATGGAAATTATTCCCAATTTAAATAGGAAGTTTTGAGAGTTACCTTTTGAATAAAATCAATAGGGATTGATGAGGAGTGATGAGAGGAATATGAAGTAAATTCCATATTGATCTTCCTTGATTGAGCCGTTATTGTCCGTTGCATGCATGTGGGAATTCCAATGTGCCTTGAGGGTAATCTGGTCCTTTTTGCCCAACAATCCATGTGTCACTTCCACAATTTTTGGAATTATTTTTAGCTCCACAGTGGCGGCTAGGAAGACAAACATTAGCGCACTGAAGGTTGCTGTGGCAGAAGCTTTGGCAATGATTGAGGGTCGTAAGTTTGCCATGCAACTGCGTTTTCTTAATGTCATTATTGAGTCGAATTCAAAGAAAATGATTTCGAGTTTGAGTGGCTCTCTAATGAATGGCAGTTGAGAGGCTTTTATACACTTGTGAAAATTAGTTAATTAGAGGAATCTTTCCAGGATTATCACTGGTCTTAGGCCCCAAAATCAGCCAATATGGCGACATATTGTTTGGTGTCATCTAGCTAGAAATATGGAGATGAGCAGTAATATTTGATCAATCGACCCCCACTTCGTTGGTGCACATTCTCAATAAGAATGATTTGCCTTGTCCTCATTCATGTTAAGGGAATTGGATCCCATATAGATCCACTTTGTGGGGATCTTAGGCCATCTCCAACTGAGGGCTGACCAGAGGGCTCGTTTTAGCCATTTGGCCTTCTAAGATATTAATATTTTAATGAACAATACATGGCCATATTTGCCTCTATCTCCAACCGAGGGCCAAAGGGCCAAACATAATTTATTATTTAAATTTAAATCCAACAATTAAATTTAAAAACTACAACTTATATTCAAAAATTACAACGGTAACTGGCCCAAAAAACCAAAAAAATTAGAACTTAAATTTAATGAATGGTTTAGTTATTTATAGGAAAAAAAAAATTAGAATTTTTAAGAATTAAAAAAAGAAAAAAATTGGCCCAAAAAACCAAAAAGAAAAAAAAAAAAAATATTTGAATACAACGTCTATTCAGCTAGCCGTTGGATTCAAAATTTTAAGCATTCCTGTCGATTATAACCGACAGGATTGTTTGAATTTTTGACCAGCCCTAGGTTGGCTGGTTGGCTGCATGCAACCAGCCCTTTGGCCCTTTGGTCCTTTTAGATTCTGTGGGGCCCACGAGCCCTCTGGCCTAGCTCTCAGTTGGAAACGGTTTTTGTGCTATTTTCGGCCCTTTGGTCCTCTGGACCCTTCGGTTAGAGATGGCCTTAGGAATCCCCATATTTTAGATATTTATCGTGTATCGTGTTGCCATAATCATTTGACTTTTTTTATTTAAAATTAAACACAAATAGTATCTAACGAAAACTGACTGCACGATGTACGATGAACGGTTAGGTAGTTGATGGGGATGACGTCGTCACAATAGTTGCAACGTATTCCTATACTGTATCCCCCTTGCACTGCTTGTGATTGCTGAACTCTCTTGTATGTTTGTTTGCCTCATTGTGGGCCGGCCTTCGTTGTAACAGTGGCTTTGCCCTGGTAATGAAATTCTAGTTTGCCAAAAATAAGAAAAAAGAAAAAGAACTTGTCATTGCCATTTTAATTAACTAAAGATGGTCCCGCTTAATGCCATGGTCAAAGGGCCTTTCTAGGTCCATTTAGTTGCTTGATTGGTAGATTTGTTGCGCTAAATGACTACATAATCTGCATTTTCTTTTTGTGGGTCTTGAATTGTTGGTGTTAGCATGCTAGGCCTACATAGGATTCAAGTTGTCCCCTTCAGTCAACCTAATTAATTCAACACATTTTTTTTTAAAGATGGCGGCCAACCTATCTCTAACTATCTGGGTTGAGTGAAAGCTTGTGACTGGCTCTTATCATTTTCATTAATATGCTATTCTTTTCAAGACGCACGGTTTTCCCAATGTGAGAATATGATCATTGCATGTATCTTCGTTAATTGTAACCATTAAGTTTGTCCCACAATAACTCTTCATAGTCTCTCATAGGTTGGGGCAGCTCATTTCATGCATATTCTTTTAACTTCCAACTGAACTGCCACCAACTTCTCAATTACAATATTGATACAAAATTTCTAATTTCATATATACTCCAAGTTTTATAACAAGTTCAAAACTTTTGTATATGCAAGTTCATATCATTTTCTAATTAAAATAAATTTAATTGAAGCATTGGTCTCTAAACCATACTCAAATTGTAGTTTTAGTCCATATTAAAACTCCATTAACTTAAGGAGTAAATCGAAGAACTGCATAAGTGCCTCTTTTAAGTACATGCATGCTACATGCTTATTTTTGACAGAAATTCTCACAAAATTAGTCATTCGTCAATGCTTTACCATATGTTAATTATGGGTGGTGCTATCCACACACCCAGTTTTACCTCTCATACATCCCTCTTAATTTTTAGCCGTTTGATCGAATGAATTGAAGAAAATCAATAAACACACAATTAACAAGAGTGTGTGAGAGATAACAATGAGTGTGTGAATAGCACTATCCGTAATTATATGTGCAACCATCTCAATTCCTCTAATGTGATAAACAATTTAGTTATTATTAATTAAGGTACGAATAACTCTTAATTTTTGGTGAAACACAATAATTAGGTGAGTAACTTTACTATATGAAAGGAAGCAAATGTGGAAGTTGGTTACCAGCATGAATATTATTCCGTTTGATTCTTGATATGTGTGTACATGCATGCATTATTTCTCACGTTAAAAAACCCTAAAAAGAAAGCCAGTAACAAAAGAACATATTCCAAATTCAAAATATCCTCTCTTTGGAATCATGGAATAATGAGTTTTCATTCTCTTTTTCTTCCTTCAGTTTTCTCTGATTTCATTTATCAAGATTGCTAATTGAAGAATACAAAAAAGTAGTACACGGCCCTCCATTTATTCCCTTTTTCTGTGGCCTAACCTTGTATATAAGCACACTCCCTGCATGGCATGGCTCATTAATTACTTCACCATTCCACTCTTTGTCTCCAAAATATCCGATTCTGAAGACCATTACAATTTTCTTAAGGTTACTTCGCTCCTAGTTTTTCAATTCTCTTTCTTCTTTTAACTTTTGCATATGCTCTAATTTCTATATATCCCTTCATGGCCTTGAAGGCACCTTCATATGAATGCTAGCTAGCTCTCGAGTTCCTTTTCACCTAGCTAGCTTAGGGTATATAAACCCCACACAAGCTATCTATAATTTCTGAACCTTTCTTCTTAATTAGCTTCTTATTTTCGACTTTTATTTTGGAAAGCATGGAGAAGCACACATTTTTTTTCACGCACAGTCCTGTTTATTTTAGTCTTTGAATTGAACAAGTTGACATATAAAAACAAAAAACAAACAGGACATGGAGATAAAAGAAGCGTGCGGAAATTATTTTCTTTAATTTATATTTTGTCAATAATTCGGTGAACTTTAGTTTAGTATGAGCAACTTACTTTTGATACTAAACTTAGATGGGTCTCATTTTTATTAGGGTTTCAAACTCTAAACTAGCTTACTTCTACTCATGCCTTATCTACCCTAATTATTGGGCTAAACCTAGTGTGGCTTGTCTGAAATTAGTTTCACATAGCCTCCTCTCTAGCTTACTAACTTCCACGAATAGAAAAATAAAAGGTGAGAATTACTTACTTTGTAGAAACTAATTAATTAAAGTACCGTGCACTAGAACATTTTGTTTTATTTATAATGCAGGCCAAAACATGAGCCGACCAGGAGATTGGAACTGCAGGTCATGCCAGCACCTCAACTTCCAGAGGCGTGACTCATGCCAACGTTGTGGAGATGCCAAGTCCGGCGTAGACTTCGGGGGCTTCGGTGGAAGAGGAGGAGGATCCTCGTCTGGGTTCATGACTACCGGTTCAGATGTTCGACCTGGTGACTGGTACTGCGCTGCTGGCAACTGTGGAGCCCACAATTTTGCAAGCCGTTCCAGCTGCTTCAAATGTGGTACTTTCAAGGATGATTCTGCCGCTGGCGGTGGTTGTGGATTTGACTCTGACCTGCCACGCTCCCGGGGTTTTGGGTTAGGACTTGGAGGTGGTGGTGGCATTGGCGGAGCAGGTGGTGGCGGCATTGGCGGAACAGGTGGTGGTCGACCTGGATGGAAATCTGGAGATTGGATTTGTACCAGGTGATACAATTAGTTAATAGTGTAATATATTTGTTCCTTTATTTTTTATAGGATAATGTTAGGGAAACTAAATTTAAAAACTAAATGATGTTTCACTAATATGAATAAACATATTTATCAACATATAAGTAATAAACCAATCATCAACTTCCAAATCTTTTAGTTTTCAAAATTTTATCTACAAATTTAATCTCGTTATCATCACTTTTTTTTATATTCAATAAAAACAAAAGTTGGCCTTTGTTGGGTCGCTTTTTTTGCTTTTGTTTTGGGCACGGTTCATTGTCAAGATATACATACATATATATATATATTCAGGTAGCTTAGGTGCCCATTATCTAAATATTGAAAATCTGACCAGAAAAGTACTTGGTGAAGATGTTTTCCTCTTTCTTTGACTGCTTTTCAAGTTAGATACTTTAGGAATGTCTCCCTCCTTGTCTAACTTAATCACTAAGCATTTAATTACGCTTCGCACACCCAAACTTAGATTTAGTTTTGTTGCAAGTGATGGATTATATTAATGAACAGAGTTTTCTCTTCAATCCATCATGGTTCAAACATCCAGCATATAATTGTAATATTGCTTCTAATAATAATAAACAAATGAGTTCAATTTTCGTAATCGATATCTAGTTATTAATCTCTATATGTATTTGGGTGTAATAAAAAGAAAAAAAGGAAAACTAATGAAAATAGCTTGAAAACTTTGAGTTTTAACAATAAAGACAAAATAAAGGGTAAAGTGAATAGTACCAGGATTGACTTTTTAGTGTAAAAATATGGTTTTTCGTTAAAATGAACAGTACCGAGAGTTTTTCGTTAAAGTTCAAAAAAAAAAAATGCTGATTTGTTTTTTTTTAAATAATTTGGACACAGGTTGGGGTGCAACGAGCACAACTTTGCTAGCAGAATGGAATGCTTTAGATGCAATGCCCCAAGAGACTCATACTAGCTAGCTGTCTTATCCAATTTTGGGTAACGTTTAATTTACACTCTCATTGATACTTGACAATTAACAGCAATTACCATTTACAAGATTAATTAATTCATGATGTTAAGTGTTTCTTTTATTGCAGGCATATTTTCTAATGAGCAAGAGAGATGATATATGATCGTCACCAGTTTTTTTGCCATTGTTTCTGAGGTTCTAGCTAGGGTTTTACATATATGCATGGCATTCTGTTAGCCAGGATTTCCCATAAAAATTAAATCAATGTACTTTGGTGCTTCTCTTTAATTTATCCATTGCTGTCATTTGTTACGTTTATTTCATCTACTGTACTATTCCTGGTTTCTGAATGAATGAATGATATGATTCCTTGTTTTTTTTTATTCATAACTAGAAACGATGTGCACAAACTTCATTTGGATGCTTTCTCTCTAATCAATATTTTAATGGAATATATCAATAAGGCTGCTTTCATGAAGTACTTTAGGAACTAGTTAAAATATTTCCACAAAAAAAAAAAAAAAAAAAAATCTAAAGGACAGATTTGTGATGTGTCTCTAAAGAGCAATAGTTATACCAATGAAACAAACAGATCACTTATTTGTAGTTGCATTATTTGCATTGCTCAAGGAGACTCACTTTAGAAACACTGTTAATTGATAACCTGTAAAAGGACCACCATTGGACATTGCAGCTTTATCAAAATATATAAGAAAAAGGAAAAAATGGTTAAATATATATGAGCAGTTTCACTTTTAAAAGTAGCTTGAGGCAACAGTGATGAATTCCACTAAACATTCATGATATCTCAAAGAAAATAACCATGATAACTGATAAGTACTATAGAAGGAACTAATATTGCTTTAAAGCTACAAGGTGCAGTATCATACATACACTGATGACAAAAAATAATATATTATTTTAAGATTTGTTGAGCCATGCATATTCTTATTTGGAAGTTAAAACGAGATGTAAATACTTTTCTTAAGTACGCAACTGTAATGTATGAGATTTGAATTTAATAATTTTGACAAAATTGAGACTGCATGTAATGTATACAAAATGGTAATGAATGAGTATTTACCATATATAGTTAAGGGTATCAATAGTAAGGGGCCGGGTTGCATCTAAAATGCATACTAATTCAAAATTTGGATAATGTGAATAACTATTTAATTTAATTTCTACCTACTTTTGCTTAAATGGCCACATTGGATTCCCTTCCATATTGACCTAAGTGTATCTTTTAAAAGTATGTAAATGGCGGATTAGTGGATTATATCTAAATTCATGCATGCATATGTGTCTAGCTCTTGGCACTCCCGCAACAAGATCTTGTCTTCCCTTTAGGTTAAGCTTTAGGATAAGCTTTATGTTACTTCAATTTGTTTAGTACTTTAGCTAGTCAAGTACCATTCTAGCCAAGTTATGATTAATTTGTTGCTTGTTTCATGGGCATGTCAATTCGGCCCCAAGACTTTCTTGTAATTTACTGCATACAGTATTTTATTCAAAATTGTAGGAGATTATCAATGGATCAATATTGAGGGTCAAAATTTCATGAGAGACCCAAATGCATTTGGCAGCCCAAATCTTCAGAGAATACTTTGGTACCAACCGTCCGTACTTAAATTTCTGACCATCTTACATGGCTCACTAAATTAATAACACATATCTAATGAAACTCTGACCCAAACCAAATACACCAATTCTCTTCTTCATACACCAATTCTCTTCTTCATGAACATCTAAACGTCCATTTTCTCTCTCCCCAAGAACACAAACAGACACGAGACAACAATAACTTCTACCAGCCACCTCCGCTCCCATCCTCCTGAAGTGTCAATTCATGAGGGTTTGAAGGAATGTACATAAATAAAAGGTGAATTTGTGGCTGGGCTTGGATCGTACCCATGAGAGATGAATGAGGAAGAAGAGAGCTGGAAACAATAGAGCTGCGATGGCCTCAAGGAGAAAGGGGAGGTGGCGGAACTGCCATGGGTTCGAGGAGGATGGGGTAGAGGCAGAGCTGTTGGAATGTAAATTGGTTTACTGGTAACTTGGACTCCAAGTTAATAACTACTAGGTTTGCTGCCCTATCTAGTGATTCATTTTGTTTATTTGAGAATAGTCAACATGACACATATATGGCTTGGATTATACCTCCAAGATATAAGGATCTAGAGTTCATGTAATGCCAAGTATCATGTTCACGTTGGTGACTCTAAATGTGATGCGTTGGATCATGTGATTATATATACTCTCCCTGCAACACTTGTTATGTAGGGTGTAAGATTTTATCATTTTAGAAACATTATCTCTCGCCTCCATCTATGCTCTTTTCCTTTTTCAAAATCAAAATCTTCATCATTCTAGAAAACTAACAAAACAATAAAGATGTTTAATTCAAATTCCAATATAGTATCCAGAGTGTATAGGTTCAATTTTGGATTTGGGTGTCGTGAAATCAAGATCAAAGGGGGCTAAATCCAATGAGATCAAAACCCTAAACTCTTGATTTAGGTGTTATATGGCCAGATCTGGTGGTACTGAGTTGTGACCTCCAATGTTAAAGGTGATAATTATGATTTTTGGAGGACTAAGATGAAGAACATTCTTAGATCTCATGATTTATGAGATTTGGTTAAAAATGAGTTTGAAACTGCCACAAAAGGTTCAAAGGAGGAAGATGAAGATTTATCAGTAGCACAAAAGATAGCACTGAGAGAAAACATCACTAAAGATGCTAAAACTTTGGGGTTTATCTGAAATGTTGTTTCATATGATATTATTCCTCGGACTGCAAATGAGAAGACTGCAAAATCTACTTAGGATGTTTTACATCAAAAATTCAGAAGAGATAAGAAGGTACAAGTTGTTAAATGACAATGTCTTACAAGGAATTTTTGTTTTACTCAAATAAAAGAGGATGAATCTTGTCTATTTACTTAACTAGAATGTTTGGGGTTTTGAATAAAATGAAAACATATGGAGGAGAGCTTAGTGATCAAAGGGTTGTGCAGAAAGTCTTAATTAGTTTACCTAGAGGCTATGATTCCATTATTTTTTTTTATTGAAGAGACCAAGGACACTGGCACAATTGGAAGTCAAGAGTTGCTTGCATCCTCAAAGCCTTTGAGCAAAGATTGTAAAGGCATGTTGAGAGTGCCACAGAGCAAGCTTTCTCTAGTTTAAGTATTAATTCCAGAGAAGGTTCAAGTAGCTCACGAGTTGCCGACGCTAAGTTGAAGAAAAATTTGAAGAGTAAAGGTGGACAATGCGAACCCAAATATAGCAGCAACTTTATCCAAACAAACATAAATTGTATTATGGTGCTTGTTGGTATAAAGGAAACCCAAGTGCCATAAGTGTGACAAGTTTGGTCACCTAGCAAAGGATTGCAACATCAAAGTGACTCATGCAACAAACTTTGCAAATCAAGTGACTGAAGAAGGAAACATGTTTTATGCTTGCTATTCTACGGTAGTGACCTAAGATAATAGTGTCTGCTATGTTGACAGTGCATGTGGCAATCACATGACTTCTCATGAGTCATTGTTGATAGATGTGAAAAAAAAAAATATCACTGCAAAGGTGAAAATGAGAAATGAGGAGTTAATGCATGTAACAAGAAAAGGAACAGCTTTCATTGAAACCAAAAAGGCAAACAATATAGTAATGAAGTTATGTTGGTGCTATAGTTGGATGAAAATCGTGGAAGTGTTGGTCAAATCATAGAGCATGGCTATTTTCTATTGTTTGGTGACTACTTGGTGGATATATTTGATATCAGGGCTCTTGAAAATGTAATTACAAGAATACAAATGACAAGTAACATATATTTTCCTCTCTCACTTGAATATGTGAATCATATAGCTAGAAGAGTAACTGTTGAAGCAACTACTTTGAGCTGGCATAGAAGGTTTGACCATTTGAATATTCAGTGTTTGAAAGATTTACAGGAGATAGAATTAGTGTATAGCTCACCTAAGATACAAGATATCAACCAAAGTGTGTGAAATCAAGTTGTGCTATAGGAAATCAACATAGGTAATGTTTGACAAAAGCAAAGCATGGAGAACAACTGTTCCACTTGAGCTCATCTACTCTGATGTTTGTGGCCCATTGAAAGTGACAAGTGGAGGTAATAAATATTTTGTTGTTGAAAATAATAGTGGGTAATGAATGCCCACAGTATTGAAGACCTTGCCATAGCATTGAAAACATTGCCACAATATTGAAAACCTTGGCAGAATATTGATATGTGGAGATCATTTGTCAAAGGTGTGGTGTAATTATTCAAAATGTAATAATACGGAGTTGCTCTATAAATAGAGCACTCCGACTACTATCAATGGATACAGAGCACAGAGAGAAAGAGATGAGGGAAGAGAAAGAGAGGAAGAGGAGAGGAGAGAATAAATAGAGTTATCTTTGTACTCTTATTATTCAAATTATAATGAAAGCACTACTGCTGCCCGAGGACGTACTCCAGTCACATTGACTGTAGAGGAACCTCGTAAATTTTGTGTCTTGTTTTATTTATTCCACTGTACACACATCGTCGATTTTACAACATTTGTAACATTCATTGATGATTGTACTAAGAAATTCAAGGTCATGGTTGAGTTGCTAAGTGTATATAAAGTCAAGAATTTGAGAAGTGACAGAGGTGGTAAATATACCTCCATTGAATTTCAAAAGATTATGTGGGACTACAGAGTAGACCTGGCAATTTATTACACGACCCGTTAACACGACACGTAAACGACACGAAAATAACGGGTTTCGGGTCAACACGATAACTAATCGGGTCATTATCGGGTCACACGATAATAACCCGTTAATAATGGGCCCTTAACAGGTTTACACGAGAGTGACACGCGGGTAACCTGTTTCGACACGATAAGAAAAATGCTATTTTGATGATTTTAATTTTTTAAACTACTAAAAAAAACTTACTATAAAATACAATAGATATAATGAATATGTATATATTGTTTATTAATTATTATTCTATTATTATTCTATATAAATTTTAAAATTTAAGTTTTATTTATTTATTTATTTTTATAGTATATTATAGGCAAAGATTGAGATTAAAAATCATAAAACACATTAAAAATAAAAATATCAAGTAATTTAAAAATACCAAAAATATAAAAAAAAATTATAATAATTAATTTCCCGCCTAATATTTCAAGAGTTTCATCCATTTCCCACCTAATGTTTGGGAAATTTTGCAACCTACATCCATCCATTTCCCGCCTAATGTTTAACCCAAAGAAAAAAAATAACTAGCTTTTTTTTTATTTTTTTATCTCTTATAACATTTTAACTTGAATAAAAATAAAATACGTAATAAAAAACATAAATGTAAT